AAATCATTTTTACATTTATATTATTTTATTATAATTCATTTCATAATTGATATGTGGAAAAGGAATAAAGTAAGAATTTGGTAGTTCATTATGATAATGAAATTGGTATGATGAAAATACATTAAAAAAAAAAAAAAAAAAAAAAAAAATTTTAATTTTTTTTTAAATTTCTTTAAAATTTTTTAATCATTTTTTTATTTTTTTTTTAATTACAATTAGCGCTTTTTTTATTTTTTTTTTAAATTTTGAATTTTATTAATTATAATATTTTTATTTTCCTTTTCAAAAACCTTCACAAAACCATATTGATAAATCTAATACTATGGTGCTATTTTTCACTTGTGTTGATGCTTATAATAGCCCTCTTTATTTCATACATCACAATTAATCTAAAAATATAATATAATATTATTTTCATTTTAATTAATAAAAAACTCAACCAATACAAAAGGTCGGATTATTGTTTTTTTTTTTTTACAGTCTTTCTTTTTTTTTTTTTCATTCTAAATAATATTATTAATCATTTTTTCTTAAAATAATAAAAACCTTCCAGATGATCCAAAAACGATAAACGATAACGATAATTTTTAATCACTAATATTCTAAAATGTCAATTATAAGTATGTTTTTTAAATAAATATAATTATTTACTTTTGAAATTTTTTTTTTTTCTTTTTTATACCCATTGGTAAATTAATGATTGAATTATTAAAAAAAATGAAATTGGTTTCAAAATAACACATTTAATTAAAAAAAAAAAAAGAAATCAAGAATAATTATTATTTAGATAAAATCACTATTTTTCAAAATAACTGCTCTGCCCATTACCCAGCAGCTGCAAAGAAATATTATGAAAAAAATAACATTTAAGAAGAATTTATTCCACCAGATTTGAATATAATAGAAAACCTATGGTCAATCTTAAAAAGATGTTTAATCCAATGTAGTATTGCCAAATCCCACTTTTCAGACAATCAATTAATCATATTTGGTTTAATATTGAACAATCAATAATATAATATATTGATAAATTATAAATCAAATCCAACCAGAATAAATAGTTCAAACTAGAGGTGGATTCAATAAATATTAAATAAAAATCCTTCCAAAAATATAAAAAAAACTTTTTTCATAACTTTTTTATAAAATAAAATTTTTTTTTTAATAGGGAATCACACAATTTTTTTTCAAGTTTTTAATTTTTTTTTTTTTTTATTTTATTTTATTTTTTTTTATTTTTTTTTAAAATAAGAATATTTAAACTTTTTTTTTTTTCCCTCATTATTTCAAATTACAGTTTTTTTTTTTTTTTTAAATAGTTTTTTTAAAAAAAGAATGGATGAAGATTTATATATAAATGGAAGAAGTGTAAATACATTAAGACATTATGAAATCAAGAAAATTCTAGCAAGGAAAGGTGCTCAAATGGAAAGATGTCCTAGAAAGAGACCGTTGTATAATCGACTGGTAGAAATATTAAAGAAAACGGGAAATGAAAATAAAATTGAAAATAAAATAAAAGATACCATAGAAACTACCAGTGCTACAATAGGTGAAGTAATAGAAACAACTACAACCAATAGAACACTAGAAAAACCATATCCTTCTGGGAATAAAATATTGGGCAGTTATTCGAAAAAATATAATAGTAATAATCATACACCAACAAGACCAGTTCTAAACTCCAGTGAACTAACCGGACCTAATAACAGTTCTTATGATAATAATTCAAAACAATTATCAGTTCAAAATTTTAATAAAATAAAAGCCGAAGTCAGTATAAAAGAAAAAAGAAATTCTGAAATAGAAAAGGAAGAATTTGAACCAGAGGTTGAATCTAATCAATTAGAAAAAAAAAATTATCAGGAAAACTATAATAATAATAATACTACTATTATCAATATTAATAATAATAATGACCAACTTAAAACATTAATAATAATACTACTACTATTTTTTATAATGTTTATAATGATATTGATAGGTAAGGTTTTAGTGTTAGTAGTGAATAAAATTATAGAAATAAGAATGATATTAATTAGAATTCTAATTCCTTATATCTTTTTTTGTATGGCCTGGAAGATTTTATCCAAAAACTATAATTTTTTTTAAAAAAGATAATAATAGATAATGAAAAATAAAAAAAGATAAAAAAAAAGATAATAATTATTAAATAAAGAATTGTTATAATAAAATTCAAAATTTTTTGAAAAGTGATTATTTTTATTATTATTTTAATATTTGCTGTGGACTCTTTCATCTTTTTGTTACATATTAAGTTTCTTCATTCATCGGTGTCCCTGTAGTCTCGACTCAATAGCATTTCAATCTATAATCCACCAAAGATTAGATTTTAATATTCACACTAGCTTTTTAGTATAAATAATCAACAAAATTAATAAAAAAATAAAAAATGTGTGATATTATATTTATATTTTATTTTATGTTTCTATTTTTTTTTACAAAAATTTCAAAGTTAATATTGTATAAAAGTAATAAAATTCCCATTTAATTTTTATTTTTTTTATTTTAAAAGTCGAAAAAAATCATTCTCAAATCTTTCACAATTATTTTCAATTTAAAATTCTTTTTAAACAAAAAAAAAAATAAGATGAAATTTTAAAAACGTCAAAAAATACCATTCCCACTAATATTTTTTAAATTTTTTTTTTTGAAATATTTTTTATTTTTTCATTTACTTTTTTTTTATTTCCAATACTATTTAAAATACATCATAATAAAATGTCGAACGATTTAAAAACTGGAGGATGTCACTGTGGTAAAGTCAGATTTGAAGTAGTTAAAGCTTCAAACGACCAAGAAAATTACGTTTATTGTAATTGCTCAATATGCACAAAGAAAGGTATCATTCATTACATCGTACCAAAAACTAGTTTCAAACTTTTACAAGGTGAAGATATTCTTTCATTATATACTTTTAACACTGGTATTGCTAAACACTACTTCTGGTAATTATAATAAATATCTATTTTATATTATTAATCGGTAAATTTATTAACCATTTATTTTTTTACAATATAGTTCAAGCTGTGGTATCTGCCCATATATGTAAATATATATTGTTTGTTTGTTTGTTTTTTTAATTTTTTTTATTCAATTATTTATTTTTTTATTTATTTATCATTATTATATCTTTAAATTATTTTTTTTACTTATTTTATTAATTTTATTTTTAAATTATAAATTTAGATCCCAAGAAGCCATCCAAATGATATTGATGTAAATGCCCGTTGTTTCGATGACTTTGATATTACTCAAGTTAAAATTAGAGATTTTGATGGTAAAAATTGGGAACAAAATGTAAAATCAATTCAATAAAAATAATTAAATTTCGAATAAAATTATCATTTATCAATTGGAACATCTTAAATCAAAATTTAATATTTTTTTTCTTTTTTAATCATTTTGAAGTTTCAAATTACATTTAAGCAAATATTGAACAAATGTATTTCTAAATATATCAAAAATATTTTTTTTATAATAAAATTATAATTTATAATTATATATTTTTTAAAATTTTTTTTTAAAATTTTTTTGATTTTTTTTTTAATTTATTTTTTTTTTTTTTTTTTTTAATTTATTTTTTTGAAATTAGATTCCTCTTATTTTCTTTTTTTCTTTTTTATATATATATTTATAGTTTTGTATACATAGATAACAATGGATAGTTTTGTAATTGACGCACAAAGTGGAAATTTTAAGCAATTAAAAAACTTGTTAAAATATGAAGAAGCCCTTGAAAGACAATTTGTTGCTTTAGATAATATTTTAAATGCACTCGATTCTAGAAATCATTCATTAGGTTACCTTTTAGTTTTGTATGTTATCACAAGTCAAACTATCAAGCAAAATCATCGAAACAATCATTTATATATTGATTATTAATATTTTTTTTAATAAATTTATAGAAAAGCAAAAATATCAGATAATGGTAAAAATAAATTAACTTTTGTTGATCAATGTAGCCATTTCTTTTCAACTTTTTCAACTGACCAAATTAAATTAGCACCAGAACAATGTATTTATTAACCAATATTAATATTATTTTCGATTTACAATAGCAACCAAATATTAATTCATCTTTTTATAAAATCACAGTCACTACACTTAGTAAATATTATGCTGAAGTTTTACACGATGTTAAACAACCTATTAAAGGTATTATACCACTCAAGAATGCCATGAGAGCACTTTCAGATAATAAACCATATCAAGTTCTTACACCAATTCACACCGATCTTTTACAAGTTTGTATTCTTTCAAAATGTTATCATGTTGCACTTCCAATTATTGAAGCAAATATCACCTCAATTAATCCAAAAGAGTCAGCAATTGGTATTAAAGATATTCTTTGTTTCTTTTATTATTCTGGTATCATCTTTACTGCCCTAAAGAAATATAAAAAAGCTCTTGAAGCTTATAAATTTGTAAGTGATTATAACATATTTTGTTGTTTTTATAAATATTTTTGTAGCAACATTTACTAATTAAAATATTATTTAAAAAGGTTCTTACAGCTCCAGCTTCCGCTTTAAGTGCCATTGTTGTAGAAGCTTATAAGAAATTTGTTGTTGTATGTTTAATTCAATATGGTAGTATTCAACATTTCCCAAGAAACACACCAACTGTAGTTCAAAGAAATATTAAATCACATTGTAAAGTATATATGGACTATGGTTTCACTTTCCCAAATTCATCAATTTCTGAAGTTCAACAAAAAGCTGCCTCAAGTGCCGAACTTTTCCAAAAAGATAATAATTGGGGTCTTATTAAAACCTCAATCAAATCAATTTATCGTAGAAATATTAAAAAACTCACTCAAACTTTTATGACTCTTTCAATTAATGATATTGCTGAAAAGGTTAACCTTCCAAAAGCTAAAGCCGAACAATTTGTTTTAAAGATGGTAATATTAAATATTCAGAAAATTTTGGTGATAATAATTATAGGTTTTAACATTTGTTTTTTTTTTATATTATAGATTGAAGAAGGTGAAATTTTTGCAACAATTAACCAAAAGGATGGTATGGTATCTTTCCACGAAAGTTTGGAAGATTTCAGCGGTTCAGTTGTTTTGGAAGATTTAAATCGTAACATTAGAAATGTATTTGATTTAGAAAAGAAAATTAGAACAATGGATGAATCAATTTCTTTAAGCAACCAATACCTTAAAAAAGTTTATAACGAAAGAAAAAATTCTCCACAATTTGACGAGTAAGTTTTTTTAATTATATCGGTTTATAAGGAAAAATAATTTTAATATATTAATCTAAATCTCTTAATTTTATTTCAGTGTGATGGAAGATATCAACTAAATTAAATTATAGTGTAAAAAAAGAAATTATATAATAATAAATAATGATAATAATTAATAGCTATAAATAAATATCAATAAAATTAAAAATTATTGCAATGTAGTCTAAAAAGAAATTTTTTTTTATTTATAAAATTTATTTAATATTTGCTTTATTTTATTTTATTTTACTAAACTAAATGATCATTTTAAAATCACTTTTGTGTAAAAAAACATTTATTTCCGTTTTTTTTTTTTTTTTTTTTGTTTATTTTAGCACTGCTACTTTTTTAAAGTTGAACACCAGAATCGGCAACCAATTTTGTAATTAATGAATTATCAGCACGTTGTCTAAATTCTGAAAACATTTGGTTGAAATAAACACTTGGATCGTTGATGGCTGGGAATGGATCAACATCAACTTTTTTGGAAAATGCAAGTTGGGTAAAAGTTGGTTGGTAACCTTCTTCTTGTTGTTTATCAATGTAAAGCTCTTCAACAGCACCATCAGCTTCGGTGGATTTTTTACCAGTGAGAATGTTATATTGGCATTGTAAGAGTTTAATCCAAAGATTTGTGTTTGTTAAAATGTCACCGCAACAAATCATGTTGGTTAAACAAATTGAAATAATTTTCTTTTCGATGGAACCATTAATATCGTTTACTGTTGGGAGCCATAATCTTTCTAAAATACTTTCCCATAAATCTGGTTTAATACTTTTGGTTATTTGAGCAGATTGAACGACACCAAATTTGATAATAAAGATTGAAAAGAAAATAGTGAAACAACGAACAACCTTTTGAGTTTTTTTGTTTGAAATTCTGGTAAGAATAACATCAAAAATATTAACTAAATATTTTTCTAAATGGCTGTAATCGAGATTTTCAACGAGTGATTCTAAAATAAAGAAAGCTTCGTGATCTTGTGATGGGCTTAAAACAAGTTTTCTGAAAATACCTAAAATTGGTTCTAATTGATTTCTATTGACGATACCAACAGCATCTTTTTTAATAAAGGCTTGAAGAAGACGGACTAATGGTGGGTAATCAGCTTGATTTCTCCAAACGGCTGGAGTAAGGAACATTGGGAGTTGTTGAATATAGTTGTTGAGGTATTCTTGTGAAGAGTTTTCAACGAGAATGGAAAATAATTGGAAACAATATGGTGTGAAATCGACAACTTGATTTTGGAGTACAGTTTGAATAAGTGGTAAAACGGTGTTTGGAGCTTGTGGTTTAGAGGCAATATTCTTTAAAAGAGTACCAACAATTTCAAAACAATAGTGAACAAAGTTATGGTTACCTGGGTTCTTTGATTCTTCGAGAAGAATAGAGATGAACTTTTGTAATAAGCTAACGGTAATCTCTTCATTAATTTTACCTTGGGTCATTATGACTACACGGACAATGGTTTTCATGGTACGATCATTTTGTCTTGAACATGGGAAACTAAATACATTTGCTAATGGAATAAGGATATTTGCGAGATTATCAGCAACAAATTGGCTTGGTAAACGTGGTGAACCATCAGGATTTTTTTCGGCCAATAAACGATCGATACAACTTGAGGCATAGGTATGGATAATATAATCTGGGTTTTGAAGGCATGGAAGAACATGATTTAAAATTCTGGTATATTCGACAGCTGGAATTTGGGATCTAAAAATAGTAATGAATTTTAAACAATCTGCCTTGAGAATTGGTTGGGTATCTTGGCTTGATAATTCTGGTTCAATACTTTGTTTATAAAAATCGACAATATTAACTAATTGGCTATTTGATTCGCTTTTAATTGCTAAAGCAGTAACTAAAAAGATTGCTGAATCTTTGCAATTCCAATTGTCTTTTTTATTTTGATTATATTTCTAAATAAAATAAAAACCTATTAATAAATCCAATATAATTTTTTTTTTTTTAAATAAACCTACATCTAATAAATTTTTGATATCAGCTGATAATAATTGAAAAACTGGAGTTTCGTAATATTTTCTTAAACCTTTTACCAATTCAATGGCGGCTCTTCTTCTAGTATCACTATCACTACCTTCAATATCTCTACGCATATATTCTACTGGATTATCTTCATAAAGTTCTAAATCAGACTCTCTTAATTCGATATTTGGTGTAATAACCATTGAACAAAGTTGTTGTAAAATAGCTGGATTATCAAATAATTTATGTGAAATACTTGTTGAAACTGTTCCTAAAAATTTAATAGATGAATATGTAAACTATATAATTATATAAGTTAGTTTTTATAAAGGTTGAAAATTATTTAAATATATACGGATAATGATGGTGATGACTTACTGGGTCATTTGAAATTTCATTTGAGGTTTTGGTTAAAAGGGTCCAGATTGATTCAACGAAAGGTTGAAGGTATTCTTGGAACTCTTCATCATAAATTTGAGTATAAAGATTAATAATTTCACAAATCGAAGTTTGAATTTTTTTTAATAATGAAGGTTCTTCGTTCTATTATAAAAAAAAAAGTAGAAAATATTAATATGGATTTAATAATTAGTTTTTAAAACTATAACAATTAATATTTACCTTTGAAGATATAATTGATCTAAAATTGGTTTCGAGTTTAAGGTATCTTTGGAATTCATTTGTAAAATCTCCAAGGTGATCTTCGAAAAACTCTGGTAAATCTACAGAGCTCATTGAGAAATAAATTTCGAATAAATAGTGAATACAATTTAATAATGAAAAAAGTTGAGCCTCATTTTGTAAACTAACATCAACCAATTTACCAGTATTCTTTTTTTTTTTTTTTTTTAAAAAATATAAATTAATATAATTATTAAAAAACTTTTATTATTATATTTTATTTTATTACTTACAATTAACAATGCTAAATATGGTTCTGGTAATTTTGATAAAATTTCTTTTAACTCGGCAAGAATAGAATCTTTCTTTTCTTGACCTCTATATTTCTTTAAGATAGTGTGTAACATCTTTAAGATAATAGTGAGAACATTAACATCACTAGTTGCAAACTTTGAAATAAGATTTGGAAGAATTGTTGGCCACTCTCTTGGGAAATCGTAAAGAGAAATAATTGAAAGTGCTTCCAATAGTTGAGCTTGGGTTGATGGGAATTGAGTTGAAGCTAAAACAAAATCTACAAATACACTTTTAACTTTTTCTTTATCGTTTGCTGGAATTGGATTTTCGGTTTCATCAGAATTTTCCCAACCTTCTTTAACTAAGTTTTTAAATGTAATAGCTGCATATAATCTAGTTGATATATCTAGGTTTGGATTATTTTGAAATATTAAAAGTGTAACAGCTGCTCCTGGATTTTTTTTGAATGCTGCAATCTTTTCAGTGGCACTTTCTCTTAAGACTGTATCGTGTGAATTAGCATCTTTAAATACACTACTTAATTGACCTATAACTTCGTTTGATAACTCCATCTTTATTGTGAATTATTATTATAAAAAACCGGATGAAAATAAAAATTGCAAAAATAAAAAAAATGAAATTAAAAAAAAAAAAATTTTAAAAAAAAAAAATTTAAAAAAAAAAAAAATTTTAAGCGCTTTTATAAAATTATAAATAAATAACAAATAAATAATTATGATTTCCTTAAATAATAAAGTATATTGGATAAAATAAACAAAAATTAAAAAAATTATTATAAAGAAAAAACGAGTTAAAATTTTTTATTTATTATATTTATTTTTTTTTTTTTTATTATTTTTTTTTTTTTGTATTGATGAAAAAAATAAAGGGGGTAGAAAATTCATAAATGGTTTTGGTTTCAATAAAAATTTAAATAAATAATAATAAATAAATAAAATCATGATTTACAACAATACTATTCATAAATGGTTTTGTTTTCAATAAATAATAAAATCATGATTTACAACATTACTATTATGCATATGTATGGCAGTTAACTGAAATATTATTTTATAATAATTAAAATTATAAAAAAAAAAATTAAAAAAAAATTAAAAAAAAAAAAAAGATTTTTTTTGTTTTATTTTTTTTATATTTTTTTTTATAAATAAATAGTGCTGTATAAAATTATTTTTGTTTAGTTTTAAAAAAAAAAAATTAAAATAGAATTTAGGAAATGGAACTTTGCACAACAAATATTCAATGTTTGGGTATAAAAGATAGTGCTCATAAAAAAAAAATTTTTAATAGTAGTAGTAATACCAAAGTGTTAGAATTCCAAGTCAGATATGAAAATCCAGAAAATGATGAAGACAAACCACCAAGCGAACCAATTATTTTTCAAACTACCCAAAGTGCAATTAACAAATTAATTACTGAGGTATGTATTTTTTTAATATTAAAAAAATTAAAAAAAAAAATTAAATTAAATTAATTAATTCATTGACCAAAAAAAAAAAAAAAATTTATTTTTTTGTATAAATCACAGATAAAAAAAGAGATATATAATGTTAATTTACCGTTGTCAAATTTTTCAATTGGTTCAAGTTCAGCACTTAGTGATATAAGCCTATTATGTCAATGTATATCATCTACACCAAAAATTCAAAAATCATTAGCATTTGTCAATTTTATAGAGACTGAAAATAATTTATGTAAATCATCTACATTCCTTTACGAGTTTATAAAAGATTCAAATATTTCAGGTGTATTAACAAAAACAAAAAACAAGAATAAAAGAACTAAAAAAGAAAGATTATGTGCAATTAAATATAACAGAATTCTTTATTACTTTTCAAATAACGACAAGAAATGTAAAGGTTTAAAGTTTTTAGATGATTGCAAAGTACTTGGAAAAAGCTTTAATACTTTTCAACTATCGTTTGGTAGTAACGAAACATACTTATTTACAACTCCAACCACCGAAGAATGTGAAAAATGGGTTTCAACAATCAATTCATGTATTGAACATATTCAAAAATCAACTTTTCAAGTTAGTGGTCAAGTTCAAGGTACACTTGTTAGAGGTAGAAACCTTGCCATTAAAGATATTGGTGGTTTATCTGATCCATTTGCTATCATCAAAGCTGAAAGGCAACAATATAAATCTCATACAATTTATAAAACATTAAACCCAACATATAATGAAAATTTCCATTTGTAAGTATTACAATCAAACTCTTTATCATCATAAACAATTTAAATATTAAATATTATTTCTTTTTTAAAAAAGTGATATTTCAAAGCATAATAGTTATCTTTATTTATTTTTGTGGGATGAAGATAAATTTAAAACAGATTTTATGGGTGAAATTATAGTACCACTATCAGCATTACCAGCAAATCAAGAAGTACAATTATGGCTACCATTGGCACCAAGAAACTCAAAAGATAAGGTTAGTGGCGATCTTTTATTAAAACTACGTTATTTCTATGCACCAGATACCCTCGAGGTTTCACCAAATGCAATTTATGGCAACTCATTAGAATCCCTTAAAAATAGACCAAATGTTTGCAAGAACTCAGTACCAATAATCCTATATCAATTTATTGAATTTTTTGAAAAGCATGGTTTAAATGAAGAAGGTATATTTAGAATTTGCGGAAACTCTATCGAAATTAAATCAATCAAAAGCCAAATTGATCAAAATTTTGAAAGTGTAATTTTTAATGCCCCCAGTGTTCATGCTTTTGCTGGTGCCTTTAAATTGTTCTTTAGAGAATTACCCGAACCATTATTCACCTTTGGTAAGTTTTTCATACATTATTATTATTAATACCATTAATTTATTTTAAATATTAATCTTTTTTTTTATAAATTTTAAAGCTCAATATGATAATTTTATAAATTTATCCAAACAAAAAAATTTTGAAATTCAAGCAGTTATAGATATTATGAAGACATTCCCACAAAGCCACATTGCAACATTAAAATTAATATTACCATTCTTTAAAAAAATATCCGATAATATTAATACAAACTTGATGGGAAATTATAATCTATCAATTGTTTTTGGACCAGCACTCCTTAGACCTCAAGTTGAAGATAATACAAATTTAATGGAAATGATTGTTGTAAATGAAATAACAAAATTCATTTTCGATAATAGCCAACAAATTTTAAAAAGTTTATAAATAGTAATAGTATAAAACAATAGTAATAATAAATAGTAATAATAATAAATAGTAATAGCAATAGTTTCAAATAATATCATTACTATTTATAAACTTTTTAAAATAATAAATAGTATCAAATAATAATATAAACATAAATTTAAATTAAAAAATAATTAATAATATAACATACACATTAAAAAAAATAAATCTTATATATATATAAATATTTATATATAAAATTGTACACTATAAAAATTTTAAAGATATTATTGTTATATTTTATTTAAAAAAAATTAATTTTAAATATAAAAAAACATATTTGAAGGAAAAATATCATCATTTGATGGTTTGGTTTTTTTTAAATTTACATGGGTTAAAATGATGATTTGAAATTAATGTTGAAAGAATAGTACAGATTTTGTTTAGTTTGGTTAGTTTTGTTAGTTTTGGATGGTATAGTATTATAAAACAAGTATTATTATTATTATTATTATTATGGATATAGAGATAGAATATAAACAATAGATAGTTTAAAACAATTTTCTTTGGAGTCTATACAAGGTTGAGGTTGAACGCTGTAAAATGAGTAAAAAAAAAAAAAATTAATATTAAATATTTAAAATTATAATCGAAATAAATAATACTTACTTTTAAACAAGATAGAGATTGTAATTTATCGATTTTTAAAAGACCTTGAATTGTAATTCTTTTGGCTGGGTCTGGGTCCATCATTCTTAGTATGAGATTTTTTAAATCATCAGATATTATAGCGTCATCATCTTCGGGGAAAGGTATTTTGCCTTCACGTAAATTTCTCCACATTTGGCCTTTTTTTGGTAGATTATAGTTTGTAGCCATTTCATAAAGAGTAATACCCAAACTAAAAATATCTGCAGCGGGTGTTCTAATGTCATTTAAAAGTTCTGGGGCCATATAAACTTGATCACCTTCATCACCCTCTTTTTCTTCATTGGCACTACTACACACACCAAAGTCACCAATTTTTAAAACACCATCGTTAGAGAATAAAAGGTTTTCTGGCTTTATATCGAGATGCATTATACCCTTTTCGTGAACATGTGCTAAACCTTGTGCTACATCATAGAGATATTGCCATATAATATACTCTGGTAACTTTCCAGCACCACCCTCCTCTTGAACGGCCAAGTTTAAAGCATCCTTAAGATTACCTCTTTCACATAACTCCATTTGGATATAAATATGGCCACCCTCTTCCCATGCACATAAAACTTGGGCTATATTATTATGGAATCCCAACTTCATACCATTTTCAATCTCTTGGATGTGTTGATTTCTTTCTGATGTTTCCCAAATTGGTCTTTTTGATTTCTTGATGGCATAGAGTTTATTATCCATTTTACCTTTAGCTTTAAATACTTTAGCAAAACTACCTTCACCAATTTCCGTTAAATAATCAAAATCGTTACTGGTAGATTTGGTTCTCTTTTTTTGTGTTAAAAAATGAATTGTTGTATTTTTGGTTGGTGTACGTAATGGTGTTTTGGTTGGAGTTTTGGGACAAATTTTTGGTGTTTTTGGTGTTCTTGGTGACGATATTGGTGTAATATCTTCTGATTCTTTAATTCTAACTTTTTTTAACACTAATTCACTTTTATCTTCGAATGCACTTTGATCTGGTAGCGGTCTCATGATTATTTTTTTTTTTATTTATAAAATTATTTATTTATTTATTTATTTATTTATAAAATTATTTATTATAAATTATAAAATGTAGATGAGTTGAATATAAACTATTTAAAAAACTAATTAAATTTATTAAATTAATATTAAATTTATAAAATATTGTTGGAATAAAAAATTTTAAAAAATTAAAAAAATAAAAAATAAAATTAAAAATTTATTATAAAATTGTTATTATATAGAAAAAAAAATTATTAAAATAAATGATGTTATGATATTTTATTAATTTTTAAAAGGTGTGGAAAAAATATTACACTAATTAAACTAAAAATAAATATATTTTTTTAATTTTTTTTATTTTTTTTTTTAATTTTAAAAATGTAATATAAAATTTTCTTCCAAGTTTTATTTTTCGAAGAATGATGCTTGGTTTGAAATGATGAAGAAAAAAAAGGAGCGAAAACAAATGTAATATTCTTTAATTTATAAACCATAGAAATACATAAAAATTGAAAAAAAAAATATATTTACCGATTAAAGATTATTTATTTTTTTTTTTAGGTTTTTAAGAATATTCTTTTATTTCGAAAAATAACATTTAAAAATAAATAAAAAAACTAATACGTGAACAAGGATGAGTATTATTTTATTTTTAATTTTTAAAATTAAAGAATGTGAAAAGTGTGAATAATGGTGGTTAAAACACAAAAACTAAATAATTTAAGCGGGAAAAATAATAAAATAGTGAAGATATAAAATGTGGATTAATTGTTTTATAAAACAAATATTCTGAAATTTTAAAACATAACCATCTTTTTTATTAATTTAATTATCAATTTATTATTTATTTATTTATTTATTTATTTATTTATTTATTTATTTATTTATTTATTTTATTTTATTTTATTTTTATTTTTATTTTTATTTATTTTTTTATTAATTTATTTTTTTATTTATTTACTTACTTATTTATTTATTTAATTATTTATTCAAAAATCATTAAAAAATTAAATAATTGTTTAATTTATTTATAAGTTGAAAAAAAGTTAACTGTATAATTATTAAAATTTGTGGTGTATAATTATTGTAATTAAATTTAATTTTTTTTTTTTCAAAATTTTTTTTTTTCGAAAATGATGATTAAAAAATTTGAAATTGGAGCGCCAAATCCAAAATGTGTGTTAACACATAGTTGTTGGTGCAAATATTTTTGTAATTTGGTACAAGAAAAAAAATAATCATAATAATAAAATAAAAAAATTCTTTTATAAAATAATATTAAAAACTATAACAACAACAATTTAGGATTAAAACATTTAAAATTCTATATACAATAAATAATAAATGTTTTATTTTATTTATTTATTAGTTTCTTTTAATTGAATAGTATTATATCTAGAAAGTTTTTTTGGGTTGAATATAAATAAAAATTTAAAAAAATATCAAATTTATATTTTTTTTAACTATTTATATAAGAAATAAATCAAAAGAACCAATAATAATAAAAATAAAAAAAATAAAATTTAAAAAAAAAAAAGAAAAGAAAAACTATAGTTTTGTATTTATTTATTTAATTTTTTTTTTTTTTTTTTTTTTTTTTTTTTTTTTTTTAAAATTTTTTTTTTTTTTTTTTAAAAATTTTTTAAATTTTTTTAAAAAATTTTTTTTTTTTAAAAATTTTTTTCTTTTTTTTTTCTTAAAAAAATTTTTTTC